TCTTTTTTTGAAAAAGAAGGATTTTTGGCTTTTTCGACCTATTCTCAATACTTCGCATTTTTCTCCATCAAAATTTCACTTTTTCGAGCTGGGAAGGTGATATTCGTGATCAGCTCGACCTGGCGATTCAGAATATGTATAATAAAGCACAAAAAAGTTTCACTCGAAGTTTGCTTTACGTGCACCTTACTTGAGCGGTTAAATTTTGCTACACAAAATTCGGTTTTTTTATCTATTTTCTATCAAAATACACTAAGTCGAAAGTTCTTGTAAAGCGTCGTGACTTAAAACATCAAAAATAACAACTACTAATAGTATTTTACTCAGAGCTATTTTCTACATAAAACGAGAAATTAGCAGAAATTGATGTTTTTGATAAAGCAACTTTTTGTGATAGAATCAAATCGTTGTTGATCGACTATCAGAGAAATATATAAAGAATTTAAACATACGAATTTTGTAGAGAAAAATAGAATCTACAAGTTGGTATAGGAGAAAATTGTTTAGTTTTTATTCAGTGTAGTTATCATTAAAATGAAACTTGACAAACATTTGTTACTATGTGAATAAAGACCTTTTTTAGTGATTTCTTTATCAAACTGTTATGTCATAGTTAACGTAACGGCCGCCAATAGGTACTTGAATTTATAATGAAAAGTGAACCATACTCACGTGAACCATACTGGAAGTCTAACATATCTGGGAATGAAATTCTTATCTTTAAACAAAGAAGTTTGATAATTTTATCCAACTAAGATTAAAGTTTGAGTTACGATGTATCTTATACAATAATTTTGAAAGCTGTATACGTTACATAAATATTGTCTTTTGTCATTTATCGTCAAATCATTGAAAATTGTCATAATAAGCTATTACAGATAAGAACTAATAAAATTCTTTGAAGGATAACAGATCTGTCCGTTTAAACATTTGCATTCGAAAAAAACCGTTTGAATGAGTTCAGAATGAAACATCTGTCGAAACGCGTTTGAGACATAAAATATTTTTATATGGGTGCATTTTATAGTGATTAGGCTAATGGAATTTTTCTCCCTTATCTTTATCCTTTTCTTATTCCTTACCTTTGCAGTTAAATTCTTTCCCTGAATATGACAAGATAACTGAGCAACAAAAATTGTTTTTGCTTCAGTGGACATTGGTTAGTTGTCCTTGTTTCGCTTTTATATATTTTCGAGAAAAGGATTTCTGAATGAAAAATATGTGAAAACTCAACTCTACCAGAATAATTTTTCTTTGAACAGTGGTGGATATCGAGCACAATGTAAGTTAAATAATAATAGAGTCACCTGTCATTTTTTCCTACGGCTGCACAAGAGCAAATATTGACACAGATCTAACTTTTGTTGTTATTTTCTTACAGGAGAGAGCAGATGGGATGCAAAACAGAATCATTCGAAATAGAATAGAGTGCATATTTTTTAATAGACACTGAGTTGATATTCATTGAACTGTTCTCGACTTGAATGAAATGAAGTGATAATAGGAACATGTCATACTACTAATATAATATATAAGATCATAGGCGCGAATCTGTAGTATGAACAGGAAATTAATCATGTGTGATGAAGTTCTGAAAGTGAACACTTGTCAAATCTGACTCACTACTGATTCGTCCGCCTTGAGATAGAGAAAGAGTAAGTAAATAAATAGTACGTATGTATATGAAAAAATTTGACATAAGTACTAAAATATGAGTAAAAATATACAGAAACTCGTTCGTTGTGAAGTACAAAATAAGTAAAAGAATTTGAGAACACAGCAATAAAACAATGTCAAATCAGATTGGAAACAAATGTCCAACGAAGATGCCAATAATTTAGCTTGAAAATTCTAATATAATCAGTACGATTTTTATCTGCTATTTTAGTTAAAATCTAACACGTACATTGTATGCTAGAACAAATGATCGCTATTTATGTTATTCCAAATACAATCATAAAAAGAGAAGAAATATTTTGCCATTTGTATCATCAAATATATGTATAAAAAAGCAAGAAGAAAAGTTTGACCCTGTAACGGCCGTCGTGAATACTGCCAACAACAAAAAAAAGAAAATGACCGTCATAGTCACTGAACTGACAACATTTTTTCTTCTTCTTATTCTTCTCTACATGATGATGGACGAACCATGAACTGAGAAAAAAAAGAAGAGAAATGCAAAGAATGGCAGTTGCTAGCAGCTAATATAATAGAAAACAAATTATTATTATATCTCAACATACAATCAACAGGCGATTAACGAAATTTTATGCCTTGAGGTTTATGTGTTCTGAAATTTTTAAAAAATCACGAGTAAAACATTTTTATTCGTTTGATTAATTGTTACATCATTTCTTAAACATTCAAGTAACATTTACACAAAAAAATGGCACATACAAGTTCATTTATGCAAAAAATCAATATTATTTATTAGGTAGATCTTAATATTTTTTCTACTTTTTAAGCCTGTTATGATATCAAAAACCAATGAGTATTTATCGTAATGTTAAATGTGTTTGTGTCGGTGATGGAGCAGTGGGTAAAACATGTTTATTAATGAGTTATACAACGAACGCGTTTCCCGGTGAATATATTCCAACAGTGTACGTTTTATACATCTGTCAATTTAGATCTCATGTTGATTAATCTATTTTCTATTTAGATTTGACAATTATTCCGCTAATATAATGGTTGAAAATGAACCAGTTAATCTTGGACTTTGGGATACAGCTGGTCAAGAAGATTACGATCGACTAAGACCATTATCGTATCCTCAAACCGATGTATTTCTGGTATGTTTTTCAATAGTAAATCCAACATCATTTGACAATGTTCGCGCAAAATGGTTTCCAGAAATAAAACATTACAATCCTGAAACGCCTATTGTACTAGTGGGGACAAAATTAGATTTAAGGGAAGATCGAAATACGATTGAAAAACTATCGGTAACTAATTCGGATTAGTGGAATGATGAATGATACAATATTGATTTTATTTTTAGTCACGTAGAATGGCACCAATTCCCACTCAAAAAGGTTGTTTAATGGCACAAGAAATACAAGCCGTTTCTTATATTGAATGTAGTGCATTAACACAAAAAAATCTTTCTCGTGTATTCGATGTGGCAATTCGGGCTGGATTAGGCAAATTTCCAAAATTAAAATCAAAGAAAAGACATCGTTGTCTATTATCATAAAAATTCGTTTTACATATGAAATTTATACGTCGATCTCGTTAAAGTAATCAATTATCTGGAAGTCACAAGAGCATTAAACACTTTTTTTTGTAACATCGTCTGTGTTCTCGTTTTGCTATTATGAATATTCTCATATCAGATTATGTTTAAGCAACAAAGGGAACAATTTTTACTATTTTCAAAAATAACTTTTGACTTTTTCGTGTGTTCAAAAAGATGGGCTTGATGTTTACAGATTCAAGTCGAAATGTCTATGGTTTCGTATATCTCAAAATTCCAATTGAATGATATATAAGTGAGTCTATTTACTTATGTTCCAAGATGCAAAGGCTTTTTTGTTTTGTTTTAAAGAATATGTGTTATAAATTATACTAAACAATTATGTTTTTTTACATATACAAACATTTTTTACAAAAAACAACTTGTTATCAAGATGTCAAACTACAAAACAGGAAATATATACGTGAAAAATGTAGAACAATCACCTCAACATTAATCTTGCTTTTTCTAAAATTTCTTTTCGAACTTTTGGATAATCTGGATATTTTTGTAAAATCTAAAAATAAAATATTAAAGAAAAGATGAGAAAATATAGTCAAAGATGATTATGAAAATGTACATACAAAATGAGCGATGTCGATTGCATCTGTTAGTCGTTTAGACTTTAAGTAATTAAACGCTAGTTTATACCCTTAATAAAGTAAAATAGAATTATAAAAGTAAAGTGAGTTATTATTTATATACACACCGATCGATGGTTGATTTTTTCCACTATATTTCCATGCTTTTTCATAATTTTCAGCTGCTTCTTTGTGTGAACCTAAAAAAAATGCAATATTAGAACATTAACATCGAAAATAACTTTTCATTATTCTCATACATTATGTGTACCTATCCATTTCAGAAGTTATATAGGAAATTTTATCCGTCGAAAAAAATATAATATATGTTGTAATCGAGTAGACATTAGTATCAAAGAATGAATTTGATCCCGGTACGTATATTTGAAAGAGCAAGAATTGATTTTTATACTGTAAAAGTATCGATGAAATTAGAAGATAGTCCTTGAATATATTTTGACGTATTTATGATTGTAATTTAAATGCAAAGGAATAAAAATTTTGCGTTCTAATATTCAGAAGAAGAAGTAATATTATTACCTGTTTGTTCATTCATCGTACCAAGAAATTCGAGTGCACGTGTTGAACACTATACATATAAGTTAAAATTGAAGATATTAATTATTATTTACACATCATTTTTTGTTTTATTTACCTTATTCACATTTAAAACTTTTTTACACAATCCTAATGCTTCATCTAATTTTGATGCTTGCATATAGGTCATGGCTAACATAAGCCAACATTTTTCTAATTCATCAGCATCATCTATATTCCATGTGAGTTTTGTTGTTCGTTTTAGATATTGTCTAGCTTTTTGGACATTTTTTAATCCGATTAAACATTCACTTATTACACACATAGCTCCAACATTATCTCTCTATAAATAGAAAACAATTAGATATATTTATTATAAAAAACCTGTATGTTAATCTAATACTTACATGCTCATTAAGTATCTGTGTCAAGTTTTCTGTTGCCTGTTCAAGATTATGTTTTTCTCCCGTATGTGCTATACAGCAATTTTCTAATACACGATACCTGACATCATTTGAAACGTCTCCCATGCCCTATTTCGAAATAGAAACAATATAGTATAATAAAATATAAAGTCTTTCTATAATTTATACTTGTAACAGTTTGAAGGATGTTGTTTGTGCAGTACGAGCTTCTTCCATTCTCGGTCTAATAATAAAAAATATGATAAATATTTACCTATTTAAACGGATAGAATAAGAAATTATACCCGTGTAATAATCGTTTCCAATCTTCTTCGCTTGCTATTATATCATTTTCAGGATTTAAAACAATTTTAACCATTGCATAAACAGCTTGACGACTATAAGTGTTATCACGTCGACATTTATTAAAGCAGGATAACGCATCATTTGGTTTATAGGAATAACTTTAAACAAATGAAAGATATACATATTTTTTATGTATATCCTTATAGTGAAAATAAAACATACTAGCACAATAAACCCTTGGCGAAATTAAAACCGGCATCATTACGAGCACGAACACTCGATTTTTCAGTACGTTCAATTATATCCGATATTTCTTCAAGACGACCAGTACGATAGATGGCTTTTGTCATTTTAACAAATGGATCAAAATTATCTAAAAATTAACCGAAGTTAATTAAAAAGATAAAGAATATTTAAAAATACTGTAAAATTATACCCGGATTTTTCTCTATTAAATCTTTGTATTGTTGAATAGCTTTTTCTGTTTCATTTTTTCTCAATAGAAAGTTAGCCATCATCTAGAATAGAATGAAAATGTTAATGCAAGATGTGTGATGAAATGTTTTGTGTAAGCTTACAATTTTAACAGAAATATCATTAGGAAATGTTTTTGTCATATATACACACACTTGTTCACATTGTTCCATATTTTCAGAGTAGAGATAAGCTTCGGCTAACATCATTTGTGTCTAAACGAATGATGTGTTAAACACTATATTGAGTTATATTTAAATGGGCATACTTTTAAATTTTTATCATCAACTAGAACCGCTTCTTTTAAATAGATAATTGCTGACTCATAATCTCGTTGATTAAAACATATTACTGACAAACGATAACAAAGACTAAATGGATAAAAAGACAACAAGTTCACATTAACTACTATTGAGAATGTAATTTATACTAAAACTATTTACTCGCAAAATAATTTTCTATTTTCTTTTTGCATATCATCTTCTTCCAATTGTGTACGTTTTAATAATCTTGTTTGATTATCTTTAGCTTTAATTAAACATTCTTTCACTAGATCATATTGTTTCGTTTGTTCACGAATATTTGCTAATATTTCATAGGCTTTTGTAACATGCTGTGCATGTTGAAAATTAGTACTAGATACTAGACATAAATAAAATAATTATCAAAACAGAAAACGATTATTTAACTCTACTTTTACCGTCTTCTTTCAATAGATGATCAATTATCTTTTCTGCTTTATCTGTTTGATTCAATTTACTCAACAAATCGGCAAGATTTATCCTGATTAAGATGAACATTGTTTAGTTTAATTACCGGAAATCAAATATAATTTACCTTAATTCGCTTTGTGGTTCAGATTTCAAAATAGCTTCATAGTAGCTGACAGCTTTAGCATAAAAATGTGTTTTTATCAATGCTTCACACGTTTTTTTCAACAAAATAAGATCTTTTGGATTTTGACGTAAAGCAGCTTCATAAATTTCAATTGCTTTATCAGGCTGTAAAAAAATGAAAATAGTCATAAAAATAGACGAAGAATAGTCAGATATGTTTACCTCCATAATATTCATATAAGCATCAGCTAATATAATTAATGCTTGCGGCTTTGGATCCCTCTCAACGAGCTCTTTATAAATACCGATATATAATTTTTTATCTCGTCTATGTTTTAAATAGATTTCTGCTAATTTTTCTCTTGATTGTACATAATACGGTTGATCTGGTTTAATTTGTGTTAGAATTTCAATGGCTGTATTTACATCACCACGTTTCAATGCTAATTCAACATTTGTTATTAATATTCTCGATTCTTCACTTGTACCTTGAAATTCACTTGTAGCTTCTTGCTATATGAAAAATAGTAGATTTAAAGATTATATAAAATTTAGAATTATTTTCTAATCTACGTACTATTACTATTCCAGCTTCATGTACACGATTTAATAACATTTGTATTTCAGCTAATTCTAAATAGACACTAACACGATCTTGTGTTAATATTTCAATACCACTGATGGCTTTTGTTCTTGGTGTCATTGCTAATGATGCTTTTTGTTTTGTATCTTTTACTGCTTTTTTAACACCTGGTAATGCCATAGCATTTTGTAAAAGTTTACACGCTTCTTCATAATTTCCCTCTTTTTTCATTATTCTCGATCGTATTAAATGATATATTGGATGCGATTTTAATTCAAAATTATATGATAGACCTTGTTCGAGTGCTTCATTCGCTGCATGAAGATTATTTTCACGAATAGATACTTGTGCCAGTAATATGTAGGCATCAGAATATGATGGTTCTTGATCAACAATACGTTTTAATACTTTTTTAGCTTCATCTATTTCACCTGCAGAAAAAAAATGTAAAACACTACATTATACATATCAATTTTACAAAAGAAAAACAAAAAAAACGCTTTACCGCAAAGATATTTCACTTTTGCTAGTAGAAATAAACCTTCGAGTAAACCGGGAACAGCTTTTGTTAATGGTTCTAAAATACCACTTGACTTCCGCAATAAAGAATCTGGCTGTTGACCAGGTTCAATTGGCTTTAAATGATAAGAATGGCAGTTATTCAAAGTTATTATTTTACCATATATAACGGGCGTGTCATAAAAAATCAAAGTCTCATTCAATTGTTTTCCTCTTTCTCATACTTTATCAAGCTTAATTTTTTACCAAAAAATTCTCCGTTTAATTCTCTGCAAAAAAATGTGTTGTTGACTGTTTTATTACGAAATCTGAATGTGACAAATGACATGAAAATTTGTGCAAAATATCAAAATGGACAAAAAAATAACGTATTTTCTTAAACAAAGCTTAATTATTTCAAATGGTTTTTTAATAGTACCAGTACGTGATTTGCAGTACATTTCTGCGTAGTTTTTACTGCACTCCTTCTCATCACCTACTGCCAAATTTGTCCGAATAAAAATATTCGAAAAAATAACAAATCTTTTACACCTTCAATTCTAACTATAAAAACTTTTAATTATAGGTGGAACACAGAGCTTTTCTAGGCGTACACGACGGATACTTAAGCTTTTTTCTCGCACAAATTCTCATATCATTTGTCACATTCAGATTTCGTAATAAAACAGTCAACAACACATTTTTTTGCAGAGAACTGAACGGAGAATTTTTTGGTAAAAAAGTAAGCTTGATCAAGTGTGAGAAAGAGGAAAACAATTGAAAATACTGAGATTGTAATTCTTCAAGACACACCCGTTACACTTACTTTTGATGAAGCATTACTCATATACTCTTTCACTATTTCAATAACAAAATCTGGATTTAAACACATGAGATACTTTTTACCGAGTGGTAAACCCTAGAACAAGATTTATATCAGATTTCTGCTCGAATGTTAGACTCAAGACTTACCTTCAGATTTTTGAAGTGTTTATCGGCTGCTTCATCAAATAATTTAATGATAGCTTCTGGTGGTAAAGTTTTTTTATGTTTAGCCAATAGAGCTTTTAAATAAGCCAGATCCTAAAATAAAAGATATTTAATCCATTCTATTTAGATTTAACCGTAGTCTACATACACTTCCATTAGTCGTTTGTACTTCATTCTGAAATTCAATTTGTTGTTGTGCTTCATCGTATTTTTCATCTAATATTTGACAGTGAATCATTCCTAGGAAAAAGAAAATACAAATAAACAACTGTGATAATATACTTTATATAATGTGCAGACCATATACAGCTTCCATATTCTCGGCATTTGTTTTAGCTGCACTACGATAAAACTTCATAGCCTCATTAAATTTATTTGACATCAATGCTTGATAACCAGCCTCAATCAGATAATCGGGATTTGACGAATCAATATTCAATGCACGTTGTATCAGTACATCTGCGTGTTGTAATACTTGTATATTTCGACCACACTTGAAAGACAGAAGAAGAAATTTCTATGAAAATCAAAAAATCGATAAGAAACGTACTACTCTGGCTACAACGCGTGATGTGTCGTAGTACAACCATGCACCTTTTGGCTCCGTCATATCCATGCTTTGCAATAAACGATTGAATCCTTGCAGAGCCTAAGAAAAGTAGACATATTTCAAGAAAAATGACATGAAATAAAACAACGTACCTCTGTGTAGTTTCCTTCTTTGCATAATAAATAGAGAAGAATATATCGGTGTGCCTCTATACAGTTTGAATCAATGCGAAGCGCTCTAAATTGAACATAAAATAGTGTGCATTCTAAAGAATGATTTTAATATTAATTACCTTTGAGCAACATCTTCGCATTGGTCCCAATCTTGCATACACAGTTGTACTAAAAATCGAATGAAAAGAATGAAAGAATATATTTTCTGCTTATACTTTAACATACATTTCATATTTTCTAATATAGCTGGTAGATAATCAGTTTTATTGACAAGTATACGATTAACATATTCAAGTGCTTGAGAGAAATTTGAACGCATTTCACGATATTTTGCCATACCAAATCCTAATGAAGAATAGACGAAAGTTGCATTAAAAGAAATAAATAACTAATGATTTGGTAGAATTACCTGCATCAGGATAATTAGGATCAACTCTAAAGTAATAGAAACAAATATTGTTTTGTAAAAAAACCATAATATAATAAAAACTCAATTAGTACCTACTGCAGGGCAAGTTCAAAATATTGTTTTGATTCTTTAACAATATCTGTCGTGATGAATATCCAACCTTTCAAACTTAATGACTAAACACAGCAACAAAATAATATTATCAATTGTTTTCTGTTTGATTACTGCGAATTTTACAATTAATATTAGGAAGTATGAGTGTTCAAATTTTATACAGTCAGCACTTCGTTTACTTACAAATATATTCGTTTTATTGTGCTTGATTGATCGATCAATGTATTCGGATGCTTTATCTGGTTTCCTTGTTATAAATAGTGCATGACCAGCATAAAATAGAGACTAGAATTATTTGAAGAAATGGCAATGTAAAACAATGAGTTAGAAATCATAAAAACTGCTTACCATATCATCCGATTGTTTACGCAACTCTTTTACTTTAGTTTCGAGTTCGACAATTGCTTCACGATCTACACGTAGACTGAAATATTGGAAAACTGTTGATTATTCAATTATAGCTGAACAAACCTGGATTTTTGTGCATTTTATGCGCGTAGATTAATGTCAACATTGATCCCAAGGCAAATTCTCCTTTATTTCTTAATAGTTCTAGTTCTCGCATCGACTCGTGTAGATATCCTAGAAAAAAAAAACCAGCATTCACAGGTTATTCAGTATATTAATAATTTATACCTTCCATCAATTGAGCTATGGCACTGTAAAATTTTAATGTCCCATCATTAACAAAACGCTTTAGTCCATCGTTGGCGGCTACATAAGCCCGATTGAAATAATTTTCTCGAAAATAGTAAAATATTTTACTCTAAAAGAAAAAATAAATAAATACTTTTCTCCTTCAATGTTTAGAAAATTCATCTCTTACTTACCAAGTTGTAAAGATCTTTATCAGCCATTTAAACTTTGAGTTATCTAAAACGATTCGAGATGCTAAAGCCACATATTCAGTCGAAGCTACTTTATATCTTTTCTTTCAATCAACTTTCTTAGTACCAAAACAAAATAACTAATGTGTATTTCAGAGACTTCACTGAGATTGTCGTGCTTCGACTTTTCCACACTTTTAAACTGTACTGCGAGTGTTAGTAAGTAGACATCTGGCAAGTATCTTTAAGGAGAAGTCTTTGACTTATATGCTAAAACTGTAACAACTTGAACTGTCATGAAAACTATAAATCTCTTTGCTTCAAGACAGAATGTGAATAGTACTTATTTAATATAATTCAGATAAAAAATATCACACCACATGTATGAAGGTTTGAATTACTGTTACAGAAAGCATATTCTTTTTGACTAAACTATTCTTAGTGTTGATTCCAGCCAGCATCTTAGATGTCTTTTTTTAGTTCGATCATAGCAACTGCATCCATCATTGTGATAGCAAACTGCATTAGTGCTTAGAATTAACATATGCACTGAGTTCTAAGATTCACAAGGCTTATTTTAAATTAGACACACAACTTCGAAGAGTAAAAACCGCAGAAAAGATAACACTTGAGGCGATTTCATGATGTATAAACAGTAGATCTCCATGCAACCAAGATATTAGCACTGATGAAGCTCTATCATACTATACCATCTCACCTTAGAAATGACATGAAGGTCAATACCCTAGAGAATGTGCTTGCGTCCAAGTCCTTGGGACAAGTACTTCGCTTGCTTAATGAAGCCGGTACTTGTCATTTTTTCCGAAGTAAATTTACTTGTTTGTAAATTACTTGTAAATTTATTTGTAAAAGTACTTTAACCCAATGCAAGTAAATTTACTTGGAAAACTACAGCCAAGTACCTGTTCTATTTATCTTTATTTTGCAGTTTGTACGTATTCTCCATCCATACTTTTGTAGAGCCATACATGCATGGCTACTCAGTTTGTTCAACGGAGTAGAAATAATCTTAAATTTATTTTCTAAGTTGATACTGATTGGTATTATGATGTTTACATACAACTTGTCAATACAAAACAAAAGAGTGATTGACTTGTCCATGTCCTTGGCTGAAGCTAATCAAGTGACGATACTTGACAACTACTTAAACAAGAACTTGGGAAGTAAAAACACGTGCTTCAACTGCACTTGTTGTTCAAATACTTACTAAGTGAGGAAGCTTATCAAGCACTTCGCAAGTACTCGGTAAGTAATCAAGTACTTGCATCAAGTACTTTCCCTAAAGTAACGACTGACCTTCATATTATTTCTCGTTTTAGATCGACTTAACTTAGTTGAAGGAAGCATTTTGTCTAAACCTTGATAGAAGGAAATTATAGAGCACAGCACAATGCATAGCTCGACTAGGGGACCACAAAGTGCTACACTGAGTTTGATTCGAGCTTGAAATGAGTTTATTGATCAAGAACCTTATTGTCGTAGCTCAAGTATTGAATGCAATATTTGACGCAATAAAATGACGATATAGGCTAGGATGGTTACATATTTGATACTACTGGTACTCGCTTTGCTTCTATACAGAGAGCGTTGAAATAGTATTTCTCTGTTGAATGTGTGCATAGACTACTATAATGCACAAATCAGAGATGGGCAACTCCGGCTAAGTTCAACTCAAACTTCGATAAGCACTTGTCTTGTTGAGGAAATGACGTTTACATATGCAGGTTATATAAGCTTTGAACACACGCTGACATCGTGGTATAGAAAGAAAAAAATTGACGTGATGTAATGAAAATAGCAAAAAAGAGTGTCACAGTTTTAAAAATTTCGAATTGTTGTGTATTTGGAGTTGATAAAATCTAAACTTAACTTCAGACTAAAAAAGTGCTACTCCAACTCAACTTTGGAGTTTGAGTTGCTCATCTCTGATGCAAATGAATTCTCATACAACAGTTGTAAGAATCTTCATCATACACAACGTCGAATTCCTTTGTTTTAGATGTCGACCTTTGCTCTCGATACTTTGTCTACGAATAGAATTTCTTCAACAATTGAAACATATATTTGTCAACAAGATGTCATTACACCCACAGTAACGAATACGTACACGGCACGAACAACTGTTGCTCTGGAGGAAAACAAACTTAGTAGTGAAATCGACCCAGTGTTGGTCACAACTAGAGATGATTCTGACGAGCATTCAAATTGTTCAGAACACAGTGTCGAAATTCCTGAGCCATCATGTTCTCTGCGTCTAAATCGTAGTACAGAAATACCAGAGCCACCTTCTTTGTATCCAAACAAACAAGATTTAATAATGCATGACGATCGTGAAGAAAACACCGATTTCTCGGATGCTTCATCATCCAGTAGCAGCAGCGATACGATGTCGGATAATGAGGACGAAGACGAATTAGAGAAGATTTCACTGGAATGGATTCAAGAGCAAGTGCGAGCGGGAGCAGATCCAAAAACATTGTTGATGAAACTAATGCCTGGTCTTCCAGAAGATATATCACAAGATGTTATTTCTGAACTTTTATGTGAACTATTAATTCCCGTACAGCAACGTCAACGGTTAGAACAATATCAAACATTGGATGATGCTGTTAATTTACTTCGATCATGTGAAAATATAATTGTATTGACTGGAGCTGGCATTAGCGTATCATGTGGTATACCAGATTTCCGTTCGAGAAGTGGTATTTATGCACGCTTAAAACAACAATTTCCAGAGTTACCTGATCCACAGGCCATGTTTGATATGGAATATTTCACGCATGACCCACGACCATTTTTTCAATTTGCAAAAGAAATTTATCCGGGTGAAAGAGAAGCATCGTTAGTTCATTGGTAAGTGTACAACAAACATTGTAATGTTAAAAATGATCCATCGTTACAATTGTATTATTTGTTTCTTTAGGTTTATTAAACAGTTAGAAACAGATAATCGTTTGTTAAGGAATTATACGCAAAATATCGATTGTCTTGAACAGCTATGTGAGATAAGCAATTTAATTCAATGTCATGGATCGTTTGCAACGGCAACGTGTGAGTAATTTGTTTGTCAAAGTATCTTTTACTATAATTGAAGGCAGCGAAAACTTCGTTTCTATTGCGCATCTTTTGCAATCATTGTGTTGACTAATTTACACTGTGTCTGTATTCTTCAGGTTTGAAGTGTCGTAAACAAGTGAATAAATCACATATAAAAGACAAGATATTGGATAAACAAATTCCATATTGTGAGCAATGCAATGTAGAAGAGGCCATTTACAAACCGGACATCATATTTTTTGGAGAACCGTTAGGTAAGTATACTTAGTCCTTGCATGCAATCAAAGTTATTTTGATGTCGATTTATGTTATAGGAAAAGAATTTCATACGAAAATTTGTGATGATAGAGAAAAGTGTGATCTACTGATTGTTATTGGCTCAAGCTTAAAAGTAAGTTTTGAATTAAGTATAATTTATCCAATACTATTTAAGATGAACCACGTAACAGTTTAATCAGTAAGTTTCCCTTTTATGACTCAAAGTTGGCACAGGTTTTGTTTCCCTGTAAAAGCCTGTCAGAGTTCCACATGGGGTCGCCTTCGACAGGCCTGACTAAATTTTTACCCGCCCACTTCTGCCTGTCAAATTTTTTTTTCATATATTCGAGAAATTCAAGTAAAATATAAGATGAATAGTTTTCATCGCTCACTGAATAATTAGCATTAACTAGTAATTGTTGCAATATACAAGTTGTAAACAAAAAAACAAGAAAAAAAATCTGCTCTAGAACGCTTCGTATTGAACGCACAAAGAATATTGGACCTGCTCAGTAGTTGAAACAGCTCGCCAGGCTTGTTTCAAATTTATGACGGCAACCGGGCGAACCATCCACTTCGTACAAGGTTCTCGATGCTATAACATAAAGATAGCAGTAAGAGACATTTATTTTGTTGTTTCTTTAGGTTAAACCAGTTTCACTTGTCACTGAAATGTTACCTTCACATGTACCACAAATATTAATTAATCGCGAAACTTTATCGCACAAAAATTTCGATATTGAGCTTCTTGGTAATTGTGATACGATAATAAACGAATTATGTCTAAGATTAAGTCAGTATGATAAATCTTATAGTCAAATAAAAAAACTACAGAAAACAAATTTATTGAATGAAGTTTTATATCAGGCCTATGTTAAACCATTGAAAACAAATAAGCGAAAAAAACAAAAAGTATCGTCCGCATACTCGTCCATTGAAATACCAGTGGTTATTCATCAAAAGAATGATTTGACATCTTCCTTACCACCTTTATCGGTGACAACTGAACAAACAAATGTACATTCGTCGAATGCAGAACTAACAACCGAAACGGACATTGTTGATTCTTCAAGAATGTTGAATGAAAATGACACACAAACACGATTAAAATCTTTACGTCAACGTCCAACAAAACGCACTGTTCTAGTCACAACTGAATCCTGTACGTCAAATACAAATAATCCACGAAAACGAACGAATTTAGCAGTCAAACGTTATTGGTCGGCACCACATAATTCATACGTTTTTTGTGCACCTAATCGATATGTATTTGATGGTGCTGATATTCTATTGTCAGATGACGAACAAGAAGAAGAGAATCAAGATGACAATCAGAGTCTGTAATAAGTCATATAATTTTAGTGGACGTCACAATATCGTGTGTTTCTTTTTTATTATATTGTCAGTTCTCGCTCTTGGAATGAGTTTCCCTTCTTTTTTTGCCAGTTTGTTGCTGTTGTTTCTTTTGTTTTTTTCTTTGTATCGAAGAATGATTGTTTCCTTTTTTTTTCGTTATTTAAAAATTATCAAGCAATTTCATTTCAGCGCATATTTAAAATATGGGACGACAGACAGTAAAATTTTCATTTTTCTGACATTAATTCATTCCAATCATGAAAAAAAAGATAAAATATATAAAGCAGTGAACAAACAATACAAAATTCAATAAAATAGTTTAATACAAATGAAAAAGCGAGTAATATAAACAGATGTATACACGAAAGTAAATAAATGAATATGTTGACTGCAATACAATGTAAGTGTGAATATTGCTAGGAGAAAATGTTTATTTACATAAAAGACATTGCACTTGTCGTTCATCCTTAAGAAAAATCTCGATTGCGACAAAGACATGGTGCGATGATAGTCCATAAATAGACAGCCAAACATGTCCATGCCGATGCAATTTTGACCCAGACAGCTGAGTCGTTCTGTTGAAAAGTATTAAAATCGCCTGTGGGTCTAAAAATGAATAGAATTACTCAACACATTTTTGAACTCTTATAAAGTTCAGATAAAAGAGAGGTGAGTCTTAGTGTAAAAAGGAGTTGTAAGCACAACTCTCCTTAACAAGCTTAGACACTTCTAGAATTAAGAACTTACCTAAACCAACTGGTTAATGTCATCATAACATAAAATGAAGCCAAGAAAAACATGAAATGAAATAATGAATAATTATAGGCAACACTAGTTTCTTCGTCGTCATATGTTTTTCCACCCTCTAAAAAGAGAAAACAGCAACATCTCTTATATTTTATCCAGGCCTACAAAGGTAATAAGGCCACAGAAGGATACTATGAAACATAACTAATTTAGAGACAAACACTTAAATGTTGGACACTTCTAGTTGGAATTTTTAGATATTAAACGTAACGATGTTTTTTTGTTGAAAAGTTGAAAGAACAAACAAACCTTCTTGTGGTACCGCATCGCCAGTCTCGTCATTACCAGAAATACCCAATAATTTGCCACTAGATGATTTCGTTGAACTTGTTAATCTTCATAAACAGCAAACTCAAATTTATATTCTTTTTCCACAAGATAGTGACATTTACTTACGTTGAATAAATAATTAAACCAAAAAAGATCAATAGTGCAACAATACTTGCTGGATCAATGCCTGTTTTTGGTGCTGTTGAATCTCCTCGAATCATACCCATCAATGGTGGGTTACATTCTTTACTTGTCGGTCGATTAGTAATTGCAGACCATGTTAGAAAGCATACATATAGTGTAACAAATGATGATTGTAATAAACCAGATGCCGAATGATATTGTTGAACAACAGGCAATACACTTATCACTGAGACAATAATACACAAAATCATATTGATTGTAACAAAAGTTATATGTAATGAGCAAGCAGGTTTCTAAAAATTAAACAGAAAACTCATACCAATATATAAATGAAATAAACTTACACTAGCATAAAAGACGTATAGAAGAATAATGGCAACAAGTGATAATACATAGAACAAAATCGTGAAAAAAATCAAACCTAAATTCAAGAAACATAGGGAACCAAGCTGATTTTGCTTATTCGCACCATTTTACTAACCACAATAATGCTTTTTACTGCCGCTTTCACCTTGTGCAACCCAGTTCTCGTTCCATGTGTGCGCAAAATCAATAATTAAGATCAACTGAATGATAATGAAAATAAAACTGCAGATACTGCCAATAACCATAATAGCTAAAATGAAACAAACACGCGCGAACATTTTAACCAGTAGGCTTGTCTTGTACGTTTTTCATACCGGGTGCAAAACCACGACTCGGAATAAAGAATGCGCCAATACACAGTCCAATGATAAAAACTATTTTAAAAAACCAGAATCCATTCTGCAGACCAGATCGTGGATCTTTCGATGTTCTAACAAATAACATAATGAGCGTAAATGCAAAAAAGAAACAGGCCATTGAAAAACCGATACGATAAACACTCAAATAACCAACAACATCTGTGCATTTTAAGTGACCATCTAATACGTGTACACCTGCGACAGTGTAGTTATTGCACAAAGCTGGTATCTGAAGTAAACAAAGAAGAATTGATTTACCATTTGTCAAGCACACTCAGTCATAATAATCTTACTTTCGCTAACGAATTAGCTAAACCAGGAGCCAAAAATATCGCCGAGATCGACATACTGACCTAAAAGAAGTATGAATATAGGCTAACAATCGCCTTCACTACAATCTTTACCTACCAATAATAATATTCCATATGCCAGTCGTGTAGCCACTGAATTTCTGCAACTAGGAGCGCAAGCGCAACACAAGGAGCAGGCCGTTGATCCACAACAGCATCCCAGCTGAAAAGAAAGAAAAACAGTAATAAATAGTATTATCCATAGTTACTCATAGGTTGAAGAGTTCTCGTATTGCGACTCACCATTCCAAGTATGCAACCCATTTTTGTAAAAATTTTCTACCTATAAATAAAAACAGAAAAAAATTAGCATGCATTCGTATCGTGTAACTATTTCTCTCTCGGTTCTAAATAAAAAGGAACGTTCAAATTCTTCTGCTGAAATGCTCAATCACTCTTCTACAACAACTAATCTAAGATAGATCCGACGAAAAGCTGTGAGGAAATCATTACTATTTTGTGGTTTCTAACAGAAGATTTCTATAGTACTCAAAGACAAAAAAGCGCAATAAGAATTTCAATGCTTGACTCATTTTGTCCTCTGATATAGTATAATAGAGAAATCAAGTACGATTGTTCTAATTGTGCTGCACTTATGGTTGTCGGAATTTCAAAATAGAGGGCGCAACTGAAGGCATTTTAACAGGCCCCAGATGTCACTCAATCTCGGACCATCTTCACTGATGAAAAATTACCCATGCATGACATTGTTTGATTTTCAGATAGTTGACAGCTGTTTCGGTTCCTTTGATTGTATTGTGGATACATACATATATTGGCATATAGAGTACTTGGAGGGATAATTAGAGACACTCTTTGAAATTTTCATGTCGTTTAAGAATTTTATGTGTCGTTGAAATGATTTGAAAACTCATTTTATGAGTGTTAGGGTACCACATGTATACGGCAGAATATATTTACAATTACATATGGCTTTTACTCTTGACTGATGTGTAGATAATAATTTCGTACTTGGATAAATATACCAGTAAACGCTCAAAGTCATGTACTTGATCCATCATATGGAGCACATTCTTCTTGAACTTGAACTTGATTTTATTTTACAAACAAAGCTGACTTTACGAAAAAGAGCTGCTGTAGGAAAGCAGAAAAAGTAAAAAATACTTATACACACTGCCACCTGGAGTAGCAACACCACAAGAGAGAGAATACGCGCTTATACCTATAGATACATTCTTACAGAATAGTGTGCAGAAATAAAAACAAACCCACAGAAAACACCTTAAATTTGCAAATGATTTTTCAGCGTCGCTTTAAACTGACCTAGAGTACATACCGCAACAACCGTTTCTGGTAAGGCGTTCCAATCGTCGGCAGTCTGATAGAAAAAAGCTAACGCTACCCGTTTTTTTGTAAGACTCGGTGTCGCGACTGGCTTCGTGTTTGCCCTCCCTAGTGAATGTACTGAGCTAAGGGTACCTGAAAAGTACCCTGCTACTAGTATGTCACAGGAACTTTCGGATACTGAAGTACCTTAAAGTACTTTTAGGTACGTATAAGGTACTCGGGCGGGTACCCTGTTGCCAAAATTGCAGTATGTTGATGATCGAACCTAATATTTGGCTTTTTTTCATTTTTGTTTTTCTCAA